GGACCAGGCTTGGGTTGGACGCCAGCGCCCACACAGCTGGCAGTGTCTGCGGCTTGGCATGCCGCACCCTGCGCCCTGGGGCACTCAGTGCTGGGGCAGAGCAGATCTGGTTGGAATCCCCTTGTTCAGCGGCACTGATCCCTGGATCTGGGGAGCAGACCTGTGCCTGCACCTCCGGGCTTGCCCAGTGCCCCAGCCAGGGGGCTATGGGAAGCCCCAGGCCCCATTCCTGCCGGAAAGCCCAGCCTGGCCCTGTGGCTGCTTTGGCAGGGCAGGGCAGTGGCTTTGCACCGCCCGGCAGGGGGCTGGGAGCGCAGGGCCAGGCGGGGAGGGCTGGAGCTGCTCTCGGCTGGGGAGGGGCTGAAATGGGGGGCCGCGGGCTGATCCCTGGGAAGGCCCCGGGGCTGGGCCGGCAAGCCGCTCTGCAGCTACACCCGGCAAGGGGCGTGTGTCCCACCCGCGCTGCTCGCGGCCCGAGTGGGGCCGGCCCGGCTCCAGCCCGGGATCCGCCCGCCGCCCCGGGCGCCCGGCGCTTGGCTTGGGGCGGCCGCTGCCGGGAGTGTGGGAAGCTCCCACGGGCCCCGCTGCCGGAGCAACTTGGGAAAATCTTTCGCTGCTGGGCAAGGAGCTTCGGCTGGGCTGGAGGCTCCTTCCCCAGCCCTGCCCGGGGGCTGCGAGCTGCTTGGAGCCGTGCTGGGGGGCTGGGGGGGCAGGGCAGGCGGGACCCGCCGGGGAGCCGCTTGTGTCCCCGTCTCCCAGCTGCGGGGAAGGGAAGGAAGCAGCGGCCGTCTGGGGGGGACCTCCCCTCGCTCCCGCTGCCTTTGCACCCAGAGGTGGGGCGGGGGGCGCCCTGGTGGAGGGACGGGGGGGGGCAGAGTAAAGGGTTTAGTGCACATCCCCTCCCCCGCACGCAGATACGGAGAGTGGAAACCAGAGCCCCGCTCCAGGTCAGATCCGGAGCCAGCCTCGACCAGGCGAACTCCAGCCCCAGCCCCGGGCGGGGGAACTGGCCGCGGTGCTGAAACCGGAGCTCGGGCTCGGCTGCCCGCAGCCCCGCGCGCAGAGCCCGTCCCAGCTGCGGGGGAGCCCGGCGGGGCGGGCTGGGGAGCGGCACCGTCCGAGGGAGGCAGCCGGGCGCTGGGGGACAAGGATCCTGCAGCCCGGGGCGTCCAGCACCTCCCCTCAGGCCGGGGCTGCAGCTCTGTGGAGATAGCGGTGGGTGGCACCGAGCGCTCAACACGTCTCCACACACACGCAGAGGGAGAGACACACAGAGGGAGACACGCACGCAGAGGGGGAGCCACACAGAGCCACACACACGCACACACAGAGGGAGAGAGACACGCACAGAGGGAGAGAGACACGCACAGAGGGAGAGAGACACGCACAGAGACACGGACACACACTCCGTGTGGACGGGCACTGGCAGGCGGGGAGACACACGGCTTTCCAGCGGATTCTCTCTCGCTCCCGGAGCTTTCTGCCCAGGCATATGGCGCGGGGGGGGTCCCCCCAAAGTGGCTCTGCCTTGGGCACCGACCCTCTCTTTAAAGCCCCCCCCCGGCTTGCGGAGCCCCCGCCCCCGGGCTCTGCAGCCCGAGCCGGGGCCCCGCAGGCAGCGCCCCCCGCCCCCCACTTCCAGGCTGGGTGGGAAAGCGGCGGCCCCCACCAACACCCCCCGCCGCCGCCCCCCAGCCCCGAGGGACAGCGCCCGGGTGCCGCCTACCTTCGCCGGGCAGGTCTTCGCCCCGGTGCGGTCCGCTCCAGCCGGGGCAGCCTCCTCCGTCCCCCAGGCTGGCGCCTCCCGCCAGCCCCAGCCCCAGCCCCTGCCTTGGCCCCCGGCTCCCGGCGCGGCCCGGCCCGGCCCGGCCCGGCGCGGCTCTGGCGGCCCGGAGCGCGCGGGGGACCCGCCAGCCCGAAGCGGAGCCGCTCGGTTCCTCCGGCCGGCGGGTGACCTGCATTGACGTCACTGCGTCATTAGGGTTCCCCTGGAAACACTGGAGCGCCCAAAATAGCAACCCACGGATCCCGCCCCGCGGGGCGGGAGCCAGGCTCGGGGCCCCTGCCTGCAACCCCCCGCCCCCGCCCCCGCGAGCCGCGCGGCCCCGGGCGGGCTGCAGCGCGAAGCCGGGGGCCGGAGACAGACCCCCCCGGAGGCAGCGCGGCGCCCCCGGCCCCCTCCCGCCCGGCCGGGCCGCCCGGCGCGGGTCCGCCACACGCGGAGCCGCAGAGTCGTGTCCTTCCCACGCGCACACACGCCGAAATGCGGCTTCCTCGCGGACACACCCTTGCCTGTCACGCTCACACACACACACACGCGCGCGCGTTATTGGCCTTCACATTTACACACCGCTGATGTCCTTTATTCTCTCCCTGGCTCACAGACCCACAGGTGTAGGGTGTTCGCACACGCACGTGGCATGCACACCTCCAGGTCGCACACACCTGCGGATTGTTCGCAGACCCCCCCCACCCCCGGGTTACATGCACGCCTATTCCCTCGCGAACACAGTGATGTAGTTTATTCACACACCCACATCTTTGACACGCAGGCACAAAGCTGTAGCTTATTTATGCACACACACACACGTGTCACACATGCACACACAGACGTGGACTAGTCACACACAAAGACACACATCTGGGTCACATGCACACACCCCCAGCTCTAGATTATTCACCCACACAGACACAGGTATGTCACACGCAGACACACAGATGTAGATTATTCACACACAGAGATTATTCATACATAGACACACCTGTGTAACACCCACAGATGTAGGTTATTCACACACGCACACATCTGTGTTAAACACACACACAGTTTGGTCGCGCACACACTCACAGACGTAGCTATCCCTGCGCGCGCGCACACCTGCACACACGCACGCACACACCTGCACGCACGCACGCACACGTACACACACGCGCGCACACACAGACACAAACACACACAGACATACCCACACACAGACATGCATGCGCGCACACACGTGCACACACCCAGGCACACACACACCCAGGCAACTCTGTGGGGCTGCTGAAGGTCCCTGGCTGGGTCCTGTGCCAGGCCGGAGGAGGAGCCAGCCGCCTGTGGGCTAAAAATAGAAAGTGCTCAGCTGCCAGCCAGGAGACCCTGCAGTGGAAGGCGACGCCGGCTCTGCCGGCTGCGGGATTCCTGGCCGTGTGCGTGGGCCGCTAATGGCCGGCCAGGACCCTGCCTGCCTTCCCGCTGGGCCTGGGGCTGGCCCGGGCTTGTCTGCCATAGACCAGGCTGTGGCCGGTGCGGGGGATGCAGCCTGCCCCCTCCCTCCCCTTTCTCTCCCGTTCTAGACGTGCAGGGAGGACAGCTCTGCCACCCAGCCTCCCTGTCTCTTTCCCCAGCAGCCGCCTCCCTCCCCTCCCGGGTGCAGCTGCCCAGGGGTCCTCCCACGCTCCCCCCATGCCCTGCCTAGATTTCCTCTGTGCCCCTTCGGCATGGGGCGCTGGCCCTCTCCAGGTCCCTTCCAGCCCTACATTTCTAGGATTCTGTGCTGAAGTCGCCCCAGCAGCAAGGTTCCCAGAGAAGCCCTTCACCAGGGTTCCTACGTTTAGCTCCTCTCCAGCTGGCACGGGTGAGATGAGGCATGGCCAGCATTCGCCAAGCCGACTCCTGGCTGGCTCCGCGCTGTCTGCGCCCAGCCGGTGGCCAGCTTTGCATTCCCTGGCTAGGGGACAGGCTTTCCCTGTAGCCAGGTGCGGGTCCTGCAGGCAGCCCAGCAAGGTGTGAGCTGGGGTGTGGACAGTGCAGCAGAGAAGAGCAGTGTGAGGATGTGACTCAGCAGGGAGGGGGGAGTGTTGACCTGGGAATGTGCCCTGGGGATGGGAGACCTGAGAGCCTGTCACCTGAGCCAGGAGGGGGAGGGGGAGGTGACACCTCGGCCAGGAATGTGGACAGAGGCTGCAGGAGGGAGCCTGCTGGGGGGGTTTAGTTTCAGTTTGGGGCTGGGTGGAGGAACACAGGGAACCCCAGGGCTGGGGTCTAAGCTCCCTGCTCCCCCAGAAGGACTTGACTGAGGGGTCCTGGGGGTACCCACAAGCTCTGTTTTGGACTGTGTTCCTGTTGTCCAATAAACCTTCTGTTTTACTGGCTGGCTGAGAGTCTCAGTGAATCCCAGGAAGAAGGGTGCAGGGCCTGGACTCCCCCACACTCCATGACAAGCAGCCTGCCTGATGCTGTGTGTTGCCAATGACTCTTGTGCAAAGCGGCGGGAAGATGTCACCTGGAAGCATCTGCTGCCTGCCTTGCCCGGGCGGAAATGCTGATGTGACAAAGTGGGCCTGTTCTTAATGTTCCCTCTGAATACTGTAGAGGTGCCTCAGTTTCCCCTAAGCATTTCTTAAATCTCTAGGTGGTGGGTGTCACGGAGTCCCTGGGCGATGCTCTGGAACTGCTCCCCATGAAGCCAGTCAGGACTCTGGGGCAGTCGCCTTTCTGTGAGCAGCCTGTCTTCAGGACACGCAGCTCACACAGCTTCCACCTTCCTGGGTCTGACCTCGGAGCATTCAGCATCCTCTGCCCCTCCGTGCGCTTCCCACAGCGAGTCCGCTCAGGCGGGGCTCCTGGGGAAGCCAGAGGGTCCTGCACCCCAACTTCGCAGTCAGACGTGACTCTCAGCCAGCCAGTAAAACAGAAGGTTTATTAGACGACAGGAACATGGTCTAAAACAGAGCTTGCAGGTGCAGAGAACGGGACCCCTCAGCTGGGTCCATTTTGGGGGGCAGTGAGCCAGACAACCACGTCTGCACTTCACTCCATGTCCCAGCCAGCCCCAAACTGAAAACCCCCTCCAGCCCCTCCTCCTCTGGGCTTTGTTCCTTTCCCGGGCCAGGTGGTCACCTGATTCCTTTGTTCTCCAACCCTTCAGCTCTCACCTTGCAGGGGGGAAGGGCCCAGGCCATTAGTTGCCAGGAAACAGGGTGTCGGCCATTCTCTGTGTCCAGACTCCTGCACACACATGCCCTCTAGGGCTCTGCAATGATCATACACCCTTACTCCACCCCCTAGATACTTAAGAACTGCCTAGGGGAAACTGAGGCACCCCCACACTATTCAGAGGAAACATTAAGAACAGTCCCACTTCGTCACATCTCTCCCCCCTTCGAGATCGAACTGAGCGGGGTCACTTTAGCCGGTGACCTGGGGAAGTTCGAAGCCACCAACGTTCCCATGGATGCCCCAGCATCTCTCCCATTCCTTGGTAGGAGTTACACCAGGCCCTTCCAGTTTCACGCCCTCCCTTAGGTCAGGGGTGGTCGATAGCACTCGCAGGCCGCATGTGGGAAGGTTTATGCAGCCCATGCCCTTTGGCCACCCCAAGAATGTCTCCCCATTGACCATCACCTTCTGCTCCCACTGGAGGTCCGGGGGGCCTGGCCCCAGGAAACTCCACACAGACATATAGGTTGGGGTCAGGAGTGGGAGCCTGTCCACATCCCCAACCATCTGGCTGATGGAGTCTGTGGCCTTGGGACCCAGCAAGGGAGCTAGACACCGGGGCTTTTCCGCAGGGTCCCCTTGGTTCAAATCGCCAGCCTGCTCAAAGGCAGTGAGGTGGCATCCACACACACCCCCCTTAACCAGGGGCAGCAATTTAGTCTCGAGGTTCCCTGTGGAACTGGCCCCCCAGAGTTTATCCCCACTCACCCTGGGGAGGTCCCCTAGGCCTCTCCGCTCCCCCACCGCCAGTTCATGCTGCTGCTGCTTCTGCAGCTCTTTCTCGGGCTCTCGCTGTCTCTCACAGTCCTCTTGCTCTCTCAGACTCAGCTCCAATCCCGTCCGTCTTGATCCCCCAATGGGGAACCCGATCGTGAAGACCCCCGTCTGGTCGGGGACAGGAGTCTTGGCGATGCCTGGCTCCCGCTTCAGCTGCTCCCAGATCCTGCTATAGCCCCAGTTGGGGTCAGGAATCTGTTCCTTAGAGCGGTCATCCTCCTCCAGCTGCACGATTAACTCTGCTTTGGTGAACTTTCCAATGCTCAACCCTCTCTTTTTGCACAGGGTTACAATGTCCTTCTTAAGGAGACGGTGACAGGCCATCACTCCGCTCCTCCCAAGTTGTTGTGGACTCACAGGCCCGTGTGTTCTCAGCTCCCCACGGTTTCCAGGGAGAACCCCTAGTGTGTCAGCCCTTCTCGAGGTCACCACCTCTTTGCCAGGGTCGAGCTGCAGACTCCTCCGCCCCTTGGACTGCTCGCTGCAATCCCCAGGGGAACCCTGTTACTGCACAGTCCTTCTCGCTGGTCACACACTCCCAGGGGTTAACCGCCCCCCGAAACCGCTCCTCTCTGAGCCTTCAGCAGGCCTGGTCCTCGGCAATCCCCCTTCGTGTTACTGCTCCCCAGTCACTTACTGCAGGAAGCACCATCCACGGGGTGCAGTACATCCCACCGCTGCCACCAGTTGTCACGGAGTCCCTGGGCGATGCTCTGGAACTGCTCCCCATGAAGCCAGTCAGGACTCTGGGGCAGTCGCCTTTCTGTGAGCAGCCTGTCTTCAGGACACGCAGCTCACACAGCTTCCACCTTCCTGGGTCTGACCTCGGAGCATTCAGCATCCTCTGCCCCTCCGTGCGCTTCCCACAGCGAGTCCGCTCAGGCGGGGCTCCTGGGGAAGCCAGAGGGTCCTGCACCCCAACTTCGCAGTCAGACGTGACTCTCAGCCAGCCAGTAAAACAGAAGGTTTATTAGACGACAGGAACATGGTCTAAAACAGAGCTTGCAGGTGCAGAGAACGGGACCCCTCAGCTGGGTCCATTTTGGGGGGCAGTGAGCCAGACAACCACATCTGCACTTCACTCCATGTCCCAGCCAGCCCCAAACTGAAAACCCCCTCCAGCCCCTCCTCCTCTGGGCTTTGTTCCTTTCCCGGGCCAGGTGGTCACCTGATTCCTTTGTTCTCCAACCCTTCAGCTCTCACCTTGCAGGGGGGGAAGGGCCCAGGCCATTAGTTGCCAGGAAACAGGGTGTCGGCCATTCTCTGTGTCCAGACTCCTGCACACACATGCCCTCTAGGGCTCTGCAATGATCATACACCCTTACTCCACCCCCTAGATACTTAAGAACTGCCTAGGGGAAACTGAGGCACCCCCACACTATTCAGAGGAAACATTAAGAACAGTCCCACTTCGTCACAGTGGGATAAGGGGGTGTAATGGTTGCAGAGCAAAGGGCCAGGGTACATAAATGGCTGACACTCTGTCTCCTGGCAACTGATGGCCTGAGCCCTTCCCCCCTGCAAGGTGAGAGCTAAAGGGTTGGAGAACAAAAGAATCAGGTGCCCTCAAGGGACAAAGCCAAGAGGAGGAGGGGCTGGAGGGAGTTTCAGTTTGGGGCTGGCTGGAGACATGGAGTGAAGTGCAGACAGGGTTGTCTGGCTCACTGCCCCCCAAAATGGACCCAGCTGAGGGGTCCTGTTCTCTGCACCTACAAGCTCTGTGTTAGACCATGTTCCTGTCATCTAATAAACCTCTGTTTTACTGGCTGGCTGAGAGCCACGTCTGACTGCGGAGTTGGGGGGCAGGACCCTCTGGCTTCCTCAGGACCCCGCCTGGGTGGACTCGCTGTGGGAAGCACACGGAGGGGCAGAGGAGGCTGAATGCTCCGAGGTCAGACCCAGGAAGGTGGAAGCTGTGTGAGCTGTGTGTCCTGAAGACAGGATGCTCCCAGAGAGGAGACTTCCCCAGAGTCCTGCCTGGCTTCATGGGAAGCAGTTCCAGAGCATCGCCCGGGGACTCCATGACAATGAGGATGACCCAGGGTCTGGAAATAATCTTCTGTGAAGGGGGATAGGAGGAGTGGGCTTGTTATTGCAGAGCCGAGACAAAGGAGCAGGGATGTGGTAAAAGTCTATCAAATAATGCCTGAGCTACCCCAAGGAGAATGGGACCTTCTGCCCTTCCTGTCTCAGCAGAAGAACAAGGGGAAGGGCAATGCAATGAACAGGTGGCAAATTCTACCTAATAGAGGAAACGGTTTTTTTCTTCTTCACACAATGTGTGATTTATCTGTGGAACTCACTGCCACTGGACAATGGTGAGGCCAAGAGTTCAGCAAGATTCAGAAAGGGACTGGACATTTATAGGGCTGATGAGAGTAGGCAGGGTTAGAATAGCTAACGCTAACAAAAGCATTTTGGAATGGCTATACAACCTGTTTCAGGGTTTAGGTCAATCTCTGTTTGGGGAGCAGATTACCCCACATCTGGTGCCATGGGGTTCCCACAGCTCTCAGAAGCCATTGGGGATGGGCCCTGTCATAGGCAGGACCCCAGACTAGGTGGACCTCAGGGCTCCCCCAGCCTGCCCATTCCTCTGTTCCTCTTCCCCACTGCCCCTGGCCTCCTAGCACCAGCCCTCCCCTCCAGCCCCTTTTCCCAGCTTCCCCATTGCTGCATGGGTCTTCTCCGCAGCAAGGGTGTGTGTGAGAGAGAGAGGGAGACACTTGCTGGGGCATCCTCCAGCTTTTGGTGCGGATGCAGCTCCCCGAGGGGGTGGAGGTGGATTTGGCTGGGCTACGGGTTCCCAAGGATCCCTGTTTGGAAAAACCTGCCCCCTCATGCTCAGCCTGGTGAGCCAGGGAGACTGGTGATGCCTCATGATATGTGAGGCAGCCAGTGCCCTCCAGCCCTGGGCGGAGGAGGAGCTGCCCCCGGTGGCCATAGACACCAGCACAGATCAGAGAACGCTCTGGCCCACCCTTACCTTTACGCCCTGGTGCCGAGGCCTCCATGGAGAGGCTCTCTGCAGCCAGCCAGGCCTGCTTGGGCTCAGCGCCCTTGTGGGATGGCTTCTCCTCGCCCCATTGAGTGCAGAAGGGGAGTGGCTCAGCATGCGGAGGGGTGGCTGGATTGGAGGCCAGCAGCCCTGCAGGGAGCCATGGGCCCATCCCCCTGGCATAACTCCACAGCCCCGCTGTGGCCTCCTGCGTGGCCCATGCCTCAGTGTCCAGGGGTCAGGAGGCTCCTGCTGGGCAGGCCTCATCAGCTCTGCTGTTCTCGTCCTTTCTCCCCTGATGTACAGGGATCCCTTGCCCGCTCCCACCTGGGCCTGCTAATGCTGCCAGCACCCCAGTTAACCCCCCCCACACACACACACATACACACTCTGGGACAGTCACAGGAGAGGTCTGGGGATCCAAGCTAAGGAGCCAGGGACCCACCTGGAGCCATGAGCCCCGTCCTGGATTGACCATAAGGCAGCAGGATGGTCCACACACAGCCGCTGCTCTGCCCCTGGCTGAGGGGTAATGGCAGCACCGTCAGTGGAGGGCTCACCTGTGCCTAGGTCCAGGCGCGGCTCATCTGTCCTTCTGGTGAGATGCTCCTAGTGCTCCTCCCCGCTGGTGACCTCCCACCCTTCACACACCCCACGTGGGGTCCCAGCTCCTGCATGCTCCCTCCATCAACGAGCAGGCAAACGACAAGCAAGGGGAAGTCCAGTCTGAGCCTTTCCACTGAGCTGGGCTAGCCCCAGGCTCCTCTCTCAAGGCTGCTCTGCCCGCACCCTGCATCCTTGGGTCCGCACACCCAGCCCCAGCCCCAGAGGGTGGTAGGGGCGGGGCCTCGGGCAGAAGGGGCAGGGGCACATGGCTAGCCTCCCCGAAGGGGAGCTCACACACCGCCCATGGGCTGAGGGGAGGCTGGGGAATGGGAGTGCGCTGCTTCCCCAGAGGCAGTGAATCCGTGTGCCCGGCAGGGGTTGGGAAGACAAGGGACTGGCTCTCCAGTGGCTCTCCAGCGCATTGCTAGCCTGCGGAGAGAGGGAGCAGGGCTTGCGGAGCCAGAGTGGCCCAGAGCTGGCCGGGTTTCCCCCGGTGGAGACAGCCAGGGCTCTCACACTGCAAGCGCGTGGCAGTGATTCACCCTGGACTTGGTGGGCAGCCATGAAAAGCGTCACCGTGGCGCAGACGGCAGGATCTGTAATTAGTTTAGGAGCGGAACAGAGTTCACGCTCCAGGCACTTCCCAAGGGAGTCAAAGGCAAGAAAGTCGGAAGCTGCAAAGGAAACAGTTTGGTTTTGTCGTGTTCAGTTCGGGGAGGGAAACGGAACCAAAGACAACGCAACATGAACAAGCAAGAAAAGCAGCAACCAAGCCTGAGCCAGGGGCTGTTTGAGCAGCCGTGCACAGATCATCACTTAGATGCTCCAGGGCGAAACATCCAGAAAATGAGGTTTATGCTCATGGAACAAAATCAGGTGGGTGAACACCAGCCAGACCCCCGGGGATGAAATGAGAATGGGGGAATATAGCCTGGGCGCAACTCCCCCAGCAAAGGGGGGAACAGCCTGGCACAGTCCTCAGCAAAGCAGCCATCCGGCTGGAGATCAGTGGGTTGGAGCTGGTGAAATTCGAAAAGGAAGAAGAGCATCGGAGGTGGATGGTGGAGAAAGCCTACAAGAAGGCAGTGGAGGAAAGAGCCTAGGAGAGAAAAAGGCAGTAACGGGAGAGAAACAGGAAGCAGAGGAAGTCGCCTATCAAAGATTGTTGGGGCTGGAAGAACAAAAGTGTGACGAGAGGGAGCATGCATGCAAAATGCTGGATCTACAAAATAGGAACCCACCGGCGATGGGGTGGACTAGGCCCTGTGGCCCCCTGCTTGTGGCCCT